GAGGGATGGGTGTTTTGCAGGGTCCGTTCTATTCCCCCTCAACCCAGTGAACAGAACTGGTAGGAAGGTAAAGTGAAGGAAATCGGTCTGTGCTTCTAAAAAGATATCTCAGCGCAGAAACCTCAGGGTAAGGGTAGAGATAGAAGAAACTGGACAATTTCCTCTCAAAACTAGTTTCCCTTGGTGTCTCTGGTCACAGACACAGCAGTTTTCACACCCCTTACTACCACTAGGACTATTCTTCATATTCCCTAGGGAATCAGGCTTAGGGAAGGTTTCCAGGGTCCAGAAATGGCAGGCAGGGAGGCGGTGGTCCACAGGCACAAAAAAAAAGTACCCTACAGCTTGCAAGAAGTACATCTCTACTCTCATACCCAGGGGTCTGTAGCTAAAAGCCAGAGGCAGGTTGGTGAGGCCTGCAGTTTTGGCTAAATATTACAGTGGGGCTGTCTAGTGTCTTTCCCAGGAATTTAAACCGAGTTGCCCCTCTGAGGAATAGAAATCCTCCACTGCAGCTGCTGAACTTGGAGTATTAGTGATTTTGGGATGGGTACAGCCATTTGCTATACTGCCTCATCTTGGGCTGAACTTTTTGTCTGCCCTGATGCTTAACAGTGTGAGGACTCTAACCCTAGCTGCTCACCCTCACATATATTCTTTATCCTTTTATACCAGGAGAGCAGTGCCACCTGGACTGAAACCGTGTGTGAGAGCCCCAAACCAGCATCATCGAGATCTACACTTAGTGAAACTAGTGATGAGGTATGCCTGGGTCCAGGGGCTGAGATACAGTGAATGGCCTCCCCAGAGACAAAAATCTCTCTTCCAGAGTTGGAACTCACTGGGGGCCTGATGGGAAAGGAGGTACTGAGTTATAGAGACACGGAGGTAGCACTGGATTAGTGAGTGACACAGCCCAGGCCTCTGGGGTTAGAACATTTAGCACACCAGCCTGCATCTAGTCACACATTTAGTTTCTTTGTGAGACATAGGTCCCTGGGCCATCAACTGGAACCTAAGCCAAGAAATATGTACCTTCCTCATCTCACCCCTCTCAGGGCCAGAAGGAAAGTGGTTGGACAGTGGGGGAGAGGGATAGGATCTGGTGAGTGGTCTATTTACTTCACCTCTTTGTTGTCATTAGATGGATTCTCAAGACGGACCCAAGAAGCAAGATTCCACTCCACCCTCTTCTACATCTTCCTCCTCTGACCCCATTTTGGACTTCAACATCTCCCTGGCAGTGGCCAAAGAACGGGCTCACCAGAAACGGAGCAGCAAACGTGCACCACAGATGGACTGGAGCAAGAAAAATGAACTCTTTAGCAATCTCTGAGCATCTATTTCAGTGTCCTCCTTCCCTTCCCACCAAACTACCCCGGAGAGTGAGGAGGAGGTTGGGGGTAGGGGGGCTGAGTTGTGCCCCTTGGTCTTCCTTCCCTTTCTTCTTCTCCACTTACCCCAAATCAAAGTACAAATCAGCACCAGCATCTGATTTTCTTAGACACCCATGTTCTTTACCATTTTTGGGGGGGGCGGGTGAGGCAATTGGGGTTAAGTGACTTGCCCAGAGTCACACAGCTAGTTAGTGTTTTGTCTGAGGCCGGCTTTGAACTCAGGTCCTCTTGAATCCAGGGCCGGTGCTCTATCCACTGTACCACCTAGCTGACTCATCCATGTTCTTTCTAAAGTCCAAGGAGCATGTTTTCCTGTTCTGTCCTAATGAGAAGACACCTTTCCCCAAATCCTTTCTTCTTAGGGCCTTAAGAAGGGTCTACTTCTTGACTACGTTATCTCCACTCCCTGCCAGCTGGAAGACTGTGAGATGATTTAATAGATTTTTTTTTCCAATTAATTTTTTTTCATGCCATTCTAACATAACACCGTCCAGAGTCAGGGAATGGCTGAATGAGAAGCCCTAAGGGCAGAAACCACAGCTCAGGGATGGACAGGGTCTTCTCCCTAAAAGCTACAAATCAGGGTATTTGGGTTTTGGGGGGTGGGGTGGGGAATGTTTGTTTTAGTGTCATAAGTTTAGAAGGATTTTTTTTTGTGCTATGATTAACATGATTTCTCCCAGTTCCCGTGTTGGAAGACGTTGCTTGTTTTGTCTTGAGCTTGTTTTTCCCCTACTCTAAGACTACTTATAGCACTGCCCTAGGCTTTCAGGCAAGACATGTAAGAAGGCTTTGAACCCAATACTACCTAGGGCGTTCCCAGCTGAGATTCGTCTATTAGTCAACAAGCATTTATTAAGTGCCTACTTCATGCCAGACACTGCTAAGACCTGAGATACAAAGAAAGGCAAAGAAAAGTCCCTGGCTCTCACAAGGAGCTCACAATCTAATCAGTAATAAAACTCTAGCACAAATTCCATTGGTTCCTCTAACCCTTCCCTGTATGCTTATTCCATGTCCTATAGCCAACCTCTCCCTTCCAGGTGATCTTTGGAAAAGAAAAAGGTGGCTACAGCTCACGTCAGAGGAGCTGTTTGCAGCTCCAGTCTTCCCTGCCTTGTCAACCTAAGATGGGGGGGGGGGGGAGGAATAGCAGACCTAGTTCTTGAAATACCTTCCCTTATTCACAGAACTCTCTACTATACAAGTGCCAAGCTAAATCAGAGTCTAAATATATACAGGTATATACCTCAGTAGTAAGTAAGGTGGAGAAACAAGTGCTTTATCCTCTAGGTACAAAAGTCACTGATAGAACTTACAATCCTTCAGTAGGTAGAAAAAAGTTTAGCGCCTCATTACTAAATATAGGGAGTTTCTCTTCCCTGGAGCCCATCACCCCACCCCCCCACCCCTTTCCTAGCCTCTCTCAAACCAGGTACAAAAATCACACACACACCCATCACCACCAGTCACACGGTTCAGATTTACCTTTGGGGCCCCCATGACTGAAACTTTAGTCTGGCACAATGAGGAATGGGGGCTGAGTCCTAGGTGATTAGAAGTCTGGAATGAGGCAGAGAAAAAGGAGGGGAGGACTTCTGCTGAATGATGCCTGGGTTATTGGGAGGCACTAAGCCCTGGGCTGGGGGAGGTAGCGGGGAATGCAAGGACTTGGCTTTAATCTCTGCCTGGCCTGTTGGTGGTTCGTAGATTGCTGGGACTGGTGAGACCCTGAGCCGGCTCCGATGATATTATCTTATCTGCCTGAAGCAGGGAGCCCTACTCATGAGGTTTGTTCCTCTAATCCCAGCATGTACTGTACACAAAGCAGCAGCTTGGGGGCAATAGAAGTTGAAGAGTTAGAAGGATGAGGGCACCATGCTCTATCTTTGAAAGAGGCAGGGGCGAAAAGTCGCCTGAATCGTAGAGATTGATCCCCAGCTCCGTTTATCAGGGATGAGACATTACTAGAGTCTGGGAACACAGACAGGACCTGTAGTATCTACCAGGATTAATTGGTATTGGTGTCCATTCCATGTGAAAAGGAGCAGAGGAGCTGATGTTCCTCTGACTTAGGCCCAGCCCCTTCCTTAACTGTGCACTGAAAGGGCAGTGCTCAAGGAGAAAGAGCACTGAATTTTGGGTCAGAGAAGTTGGACTCAAACGCTGGTTTTCTGCTGTATTCAACTCTGAAGAAGTAAATTAACCTTTCTGAGTCTCAATTGTCCCATCTTAAAATGATGGGGGTTAATTAGGCCATTTCCAGCTGTAAATCCTATGAAGCAAAGACAGGTAAAAGAAACACTTTGGTTAAAGAGGATTATAATTCTCCCAAGGGCCTCAAAGGGGGGGCTGTGGACTGGTATCTTTAAAAAAATATGATACCATAAACAGGTTAGGAACTGGGAGTTGAGCACTCAAGCCAAACCCAGTTTCTTCAACCTTCTGGTCCCAAACCCCCATCCCTACAATTTGAAAACCTCTTACTGTTAAGATTGCATTGGGGCCGGCCCTCCTCCCAGCTTCACTTGCCAAGATGAAGAAATCTGTGCCCTTGGGGCTCTCTGGCTAGGTCAAGAACAGGGTGGAGCGGCTGATAGGGTGGGGAGTGTATTAGCAATTTCAAAGATGGCCAGAAATAGAGGGTGTAGATTTTGGTTCTTTCCTTACCTGTCAAGGTAATTTCTTAATGTTAGAGATCATGGTTTGAATTCCCCTTATTTTACAGATGAGTAAACAAACTCGGGAGAATATTGTATCGGGGTAATACTTTGGAAACAGCCCTGTATTTTCATGATGGCCAGCATAGAGGTGATAGTCATTCTGGGGGTTGTCCTCAACCTCTGAGCCTTTCTGTCTCTAGCACCCTGCGACTCCCTTGCTCAGCTCAAGCTATCTCAGATTGCTCCTCTACTGCCATCTGGTGGCCATGTGGAGAGCAGCAAGGTAATGCCAGGGTTGGGGTTGAGCACACTCATGCAGGAAAGCATTGCTCTATTACAACAAATTCTGGACTCCGACTCCCCCCCCCCCCAATCAGTACTACTAATTAGAACCTGACATCACGGCCCACTCGTCAGGAAGAGTGTGCTGTGAGGCTGAGCGTACAGAGAAGTTGGAGATCAATCCAGAGCTCTCATTCAGTGCAGGGCATGTGGCCAATTTCGAGGATTCCTCTGGGTTCTTCCCTCTCTCTCCTGCTATTTTCCACTTCTGAACTGGGTCTAGATTTCACATGCCAGTGGCAATGAAACCCTGGCATCCTCCATACACAGTAGCCATGCCCAGCAGTACCAGGCCTCAAAAGAAGGAGGGAGGCACAGTACAGTCATGCTGGCTGTAGGTCTTCACAGTTACATCCTTCCTGGATCACTCCTATCTATTCCTGATTCCAAATGAATTACTTCAGCAAAGCCACTCCCATCAAATGTCAAGTGCAAGCTAGTCAATGATCGGTAGGTATTTTAACTCCCTTGTTCAGGGAGAGGAGACTTTTCCTTGATCAGCCTTTGAGGAGTGGCTTGCCCAGGAAACGCTAGGATTGTAAGGGCTCTGTCCTGATAGCACAAGCTATTACGGGGGTGTAGACTAGATTCCTCCACCCATCCATCCGAGAGTCTTCCCTACAAGACCAGGCCAGCTAGTAGGGCTCCCAGGATGATCAGCAACTGTTAGCTTCATGGCTCCACCAGCTCCTGCCTCTGTACTGCTTCTCTTCCATATGGCTGGTCTGCTCCAGAAGCCACTGTCTCTCTGGTTCACTCACCAGCAGCCTCAGGGTCACCTCTTGAAAGATGTTGCTCATAGTCACCTATGACAGCCAAGGAAAACAAAATTAGGTCCAAGCCCCTAACCACTGGGTAACCCCCTTGACATCCCAACCTCTCCCCATCTAATACTCTTACCTGCTCAAAGTGAAGCTTTTTAAACATGCATATGCTAGGCTCATTTCCTTGTCCAATTTTGGCTTCAAACTTGTTGAGACCTAGTGTGGTCATTCCTTCCAAGGCATGGCAGAGAAAAAGGAACACACATTCTGATGACAAAACAAAAAAGGACTCCTCCCCTCCTCCCCAGTCCTGGCTCCTTTCCCCATAGCCTCATTAGAGTCTTGTAGTTGTGAGGCAGCCCATGACCCCAAAATGTAAAAGCGAGGTCCTAAGCCCCAGAGGCATCACTTCATCATCCCAGACCAAATATTTACCCTCAATACATACACACATAGCCCGAGTGACTGGCTGGCTCCTTTGTCCTTACCATAAGCCATCATCATCAGAACTGCCTCTGTGCCAAACCCCCTTCGTCGATTGCTGGGCTCTGAAGGAAACGGGAGAGATGGAGAGATTCTTTTGGGAGAGACTGAAGATTAAGCAGCAGAGGGAAGGGCTCCTGACCTTGTGGTGCTGAGGCAGCTCTCAGAATAACTCCCTGTTAGTTATGTTAGAGCCTGTTTCTACCACTGATTACCAAGGTGAACTTAGACAAGTCACATCACTTCTCTAGGCTTCAATTTCCCTATCCATAAAATAAGGGGGTTGGACTATGTCAGAATTCCCTTTCAATTCTAAATCCTATCATCCCATGAAGGAGGAGGGAAAAGTGACATCTGAGCAAAAGGGAAATAAAGTAGATAAGATACCCGAGGGGCTGTGATTGCTCCCTGGAGGAGTCTCCCTGCAACAGACTACAGTATGTTCTAGGAACTTCGATGGACCCAGCCAGGTACCTGGGCCTTAGCAGAGAGGCTCTCCTGGCTAAGTGAGAACCCACCCAGCTTCAAAGATTAAGACGACTAAGAAGGAAGAGTGGAGGGGGAGGAGGGCTTGAAAGGAGGAGGGGTGGATTAGGGCAATGGAGGGAGATGAAAAACAAGGGAAGAGTAAAGCAAGATGAAATATACCAGCAATCATGACCTCAATCTCCCCCAAAGTTGGGTCCTGCAAGTCAGTAAGGAACAAGTTCACGTCTCCCACCATGCAGTTCTCTTCGGCCGAGTCTGGCTGTGCCTGCCATTTTTCTGCATCCAGCACAATGAAAGTACATTCTGGTGGACAGATGAGGTTTAGGCTTACAAGCGGACCTCCGAAATATCTTCCCACAAGGATAGCAGTGTTTTCCCAGCCTCTGGGAGGGAGGAGAAAATAAGGCCAGGAGCCTCCTTCAGATGAGCCTCAAGCTTGATAAGTGGCATGAAACCCAGGCATTCTCCATGCCTAGCAGGAAAATGACTCAGGGAAGGAAGTACAATACAGCCATACCAGCTGAGGGAGATACAGTGCTTAGATCTGGGGCCAGAGGAAAGCAGCTTTGCTAGCTCTAAACCAATCTTGGACTCACTGCCTTCCTTCCACCTGAAGCAGAGCCAGGCTCAAAAGAAACCCCTCCCCTTTTCTCAGGCAGTAGTGTCTAGGCAAATTGGTGAAAATACTGAGAAGAAGCAAACAGCTCCAGCACAAGACACCTCTCCCAAAGAGCCATCATGGGTGAACGTGACAGCACAAGGACCCAGGCTTCCCATAAACCTCTCCCCTCCCCTCAATGCCTCACTGTCAGTATCTTCTCGCCAGCTGTGCTGCATCACATACTCCTGCTCCAGAGTCAGAGGCTCTGAAGCTGTCAGCCGCTGCAGCTCCTCTGACTTCATCCATTCATGGTATCTGAAGGGAAAGCAGGCAAAGTCTAAGAAACAAGGGGCCCCTGGAACTCTGGGGGTGGGGTGGTAGGAATGCTCCTACTGCTCAGAGACCTCATGGAGAGTTGTATGGAAGGGCTATGAGCTACCCACAAAGGACAGGATAAAGGGCACTAGCCACTGAGGTCAGGCCAGTCCTGGGGGATCATACACACAGATCAGCTCAGCCTACCCTCCAGTCCCTTAGGAGGAATTATCAAAGGGGATCAACCTGGGGTCACAAACATTCCAGGAATTCCTGAGTGAAAGTAAAGCACAGTAAGTTGACCTTTTCAAAGCCGGCTGGGCAAACGTCCACAAAGTCAGGCCACAACCAAACCTTTCCATGGGCTGAAGTACAAGCCGTGCAGGCTTCTACTATTCACCAGATACTATACTGCTGCTCCCTTGAGAGAATATACATTGCAGCCAGGAACTGTACTGACTTTTAAAATTAATCTAATGTTAATATAAGTCAAGAGTCTCAGACAGAGTGAGGTTAGGGTTTCAGGAAGTGAGCTTTATCATAGACACCAACAGAACATTGCTGCAGCCTTACAATCGGGAATGGGAGGGCAAGTTCTTTATTCTCCTTTGTCACACATCAAAAAATTCATTATTTCATTAGTGGAGGACTCACTCCAAACACTCAGACTAACATTCAATTCAATGAGCAATTACAAAGCACCTGTTAAGGTGCTTGAAGCAGGGCCTGAAGTCAGAAAGACTCATCTTCCTGAGTTCAAATCTGGCCTCAGACACTTCCTGGCTGTGGTCCTCATGACCCAAGTCACTTAACCCTGTTTGCCTCAGTTTCCTCCTCTATCAAATGAACTGGAGGAGGAAATGGCAAACCACTCTAGTATCTTTGCCAAGAAAACCTCAAATGGGATCATGAAGAGTTGGAACACGACCGAACAACAACAAAGAGGTACTTGCGATACAAAGACAAAATAAAATAGTCTCTTTCCTCAAAGGGCTTACATTCTACTGGACATAAGTACTTGTCTTCATAAGGTACTGTGGTCCCACCTCATCACATGGTAACCAGATTTCTTATGATAAACCTTTCTGGATTCAGCTAAACTGGTCATTGAATGACAAGATAATACTTGAAGTTTTCTAGCTTGCTAGGATCTGTCCGTGTTCTTTTCAGGGCACCCCCACTCCAATAATGATGCTGTGGAGGAATGACTTTAAGGGAAATTTATTTCAATACCCAGAGTTTATCTAAAACATCTTCTGAAGGCCTGAGAGTGAAAAATGAAATCAAGTGTGTTTATGCGGAAGGAAAAGTACTCATGGGGCCACTAGCAGGTTTTCCACCTCAGATTCAGCTTCCCTTTGAATATTATATTATTTCACATGACCAATGCCCCTTTCAGGAAAAGAGAAACTGGCTTTTCTTTTCTTCAAGTTTTCCACATTCCAGAAGCTCAGGGCTAGCTCTGGGGTATTTGTTCAATTCCTCAAACGTGGGGCAATTGAGGGTACACAAAGATGAAAAGAGAGAAAAGAAACAGTCCCTTCCCAAAGGGAACTTTATATTCTACTGGGGAGTGGAGTATCTGGAGAAGGAGGCTGAGGGAATCCAACATAACCACAGATAAATACATTCAAAGTATGTATGAAATAGTTTCAAGAGGGAGACAGAATTAATAACTGAGGGGATCAGGAAACACCTGGTTCAGTATATAGCACCTGAGCTGTCGAAGTTACAGATTCTAAGATAATCCTTATATATATATATATATATATATCAATACATACATTATTTTAGAACATTAGACTCTGAGGTCCTTGAGAGCAGGGACTGTTTACCTTTCTTTGTAACACCAGCACTTAGCATTGTGCCTGGCATATGATAAATGCTTTATAAATGTTTGTTGACTAGATATTATATTATCGAGGTGGTAATGATTATTACCACGTGACAGTTGGAGGGAGTTACTACCTGGGTACATGCTCTGTGGTGTAGGGTACCAGGATCACCTTCTGTCCCAACAGCATAGTATTCTGATTTACTCTCATGGTTGCACCAGAAAGATGGGATTTCCTCTTCCTGTAAAATTGCTCTCCTTTTGGCCCTTTCCTCCTGTGACCAACATCCTGTAATCAAACAACCCCCCAGGCTCATTTATTAATATCATCACAATCCCTATCCCCTCTTAATTCCAGGGCTTTCCTTCTTTTAATTACTTCCTATTTATCCAGTAAACAGCTTACTTTGAATACATTTGTTTGCACGTTGTCTCCCCTATTAGATTGTAAGTTCTTTGATGGCAAAGACTGTCTTTGGCATCTTTGTATCCACAGAATTTAGCACAGTGCCTGGCACCTAGCAGGCATTTAATGTTTATTCACAGATTAACTACAGTGAAGACTGATACATATTTACTAGTATTACCCTTACTCTAAATGCTTTTTGCAATTGCATGAGAAGTGGCAGGGCCTCTGGTGGACAGAGTTGGCCTGGGTTCAAGCCCCTTCCCTGACACACACTGGCTGTGTGACCCTTGGGCAAGTGTTCTACCAAAGGTCCCACCTGCATTAGTAGGAGTTCCTTAAGCAATGAAATTATAGATCCAGTCCCTATATCTACTGTTTTCATATAGGAATGCTTTAAGCTTTTACATTTTTATGCTTTAAATTTTTGTATCCAAATACAATACATATTAGTATTCATACTAGAAATAATGTTTCATTTGCATGAAACACTTTACTTTAGCCTCCTTTAGCTCCACTGGCCCTTCATAACAAGCCTGTGAAGCAAAACCCCATTTTACATACGAGGAACCTGAAGCCCAGTCCATTTTACATGTGAGCAAACTTAGTCCCTTAAGTTAAATTCCACTTGTCCGATGTCTCAATGGCTGGGAGGTGGCAGGAGCCAGGACTCCTGCCCCCCAGTCCAATCGCCTCTCTATTTCCAAGACGTTGAGAAGAACTCGGTATTCCAGGCAACTACCCGGAACAGCAAAGCCTCCGGGGTCAACAACCTTCCCGTCCCGGGGCTTCTAGCCCCGCAAAACTCGCCGCAGCCAAGCCCCGTCCCAAAGCTGACCTCCCCCCGACTTCTGGTGCTGTTCTCGAGCCTCCTACCTATCACCCCCAACCCCAGGCCTGGACACCCGGTCCCACCGTCAATCCTCATGTTCACCTGTCCGAGGCAGACCCGGGATCCCGGACCCGATCCCGCCCCAACGCATGCGCACGCCAGCACAGAAGGCACTTCCGCCGTTCCGCCTCCGCCTTGGTCCCGCCCCCCTCCTCTGGAGCCAATCGACGACTTCTGCCCCGCCTTCTCCCTCCTCTCCCTTCTCTCCGTGACGTGACGTATACGGAAATGGTAGTCTCGCTGTGCGCAGGCGCCGTGTGGCAGACGGTTGCTGGGGACAGCCGCCTGAGGAGGCGGCGGCGGCGAAGGCGAGGTTGAGGTGGGGCTGAGGCAGCTGCTCATAGGTGCCCGGCCCACCGCACCACTCACCGGCCGCTCTGGCCTGGGCTGGGTAGGAGAGGCGGGGCGAGAGACTGACGACGACCCGCAGGGAATGTGGAAGCCAGGACAGGAGCTGCGAGGGAGAGAAGCTGGGAAGCTAGTGCTCGGTGTAAGGGGAGGCTCGGCGGGCCGGGGCCGGGGCCGGGGCTAGGGCCCGCCTCTGGGAGCGGAGGCTCCAAGGCTTGGCTTGAGCACCTGGTGTTTGCAGCGCGGCATGGTGGTGGGCTTGGACTCAGAAAGACCTGGGTGCATCGGACACTGGCCACGTGCATCTGGGCCAGTCACCTGTAACCCCTGGGTGTCTCGGGTACCTCCCCTACGACGTGTCTGTTAAGTCGGAGAGGGGAGGTGGTCCCTGTTGATGGAGAGAGTTCCCATCCGGGGAGTCCCAATACCGAACAAAGCAATGTCTTAGGAGCTGGGTAGAGAGCAGGAAGAATTAAAAATTGCTTTGTACGTGTTTGTTTACATGTCTCTCTTTTTAGATTGTAAGCTCCTTGAGATCAGGAACTGACTTTTGCCTCTTTTTGTATCCCCAGGACTTAGCACAGGGCCTGTCATGTAGTAGGCAGTTACTGATTGACTACAGTTAACATTGACACACATTTACTAGTATTACCTGTGCTATGAATAACACCTTATTTGCATGAGAGGTAGCATGGCCTACGGAATAGAGAGCTGGCCATCAAGTAGCCATCTGGACAGACCCTGGGTAGGTTGAGCCTACTGGGGTTAAGGAGATGTCATTGAGGTTGCCCATAGGATAACTGTCTGTGTGCCGAAGGGTATGGAGGTAAGGGGAAAGGAGTCTGGAGCTCCTCTTGTTGGATCCTTGGTAAGAAATCACTTAGTCCTCTTTTGATTTGGACAGTGACAGCAGCAGCTGATGCCACCTCAAAGAATCCCAACCCCACAAGGCTAAACTTCAAGAAGAACCTTTCTACACGTCTTGAACATGGCTGGTGGAATCACAGAAACGGGGGAGCTTTATTCTCCATATGTAAGTTATCACTTTTAGGACATCTGAGGTGCTGTGTAGAATATTTGCCTCAAAATTACCTAGACTTGTGGTCTCTCAGGGAGTGGACGAGGTAGGAAAATTGTTTGAGTGGATAGACCCAAGGAAAAGGTAGAGGAACAGCTCATTACTTTAATTCAACAAATATTTATGAAGCACCTACTGTGTGTGGAGTTAAAGATGGGCACTTGTGTGGCTTCTACACAATCAGGTAAAGGTTTTGATATGTTTGCAGTACGTTGTAGTTGTCTTTCAGTCAGATTGCATGCCTAGAGAGAGTTTGCGTTAACCTCCTCTGTTTAGGGGTCTGTGAATGTCTATCTAATTGTAGGTGTCTTGTAGGTAGAATTTGACCATATTGTATATGGTAATACTATACATACAAACCCTTGGGTCTTTAGTTAACTGAACTTGTTGCACAACTTTTATTGTTTTAGATGATATAAGGGGCACTGGGGGTTATAGAGAAGGTTTTGGTTTTAGGTGACATTGGTGGAACCAACACTTCAAATGGATTGTCTTGTGTTAATTCCACCCATCATATTCAGTTTATTTTCTCTGGGTGATCATAATTACATCACTAGGCCTACTCTCTTAATTAGATGAGTAAGCTATTCAGCCAGCATTATTTTGATGATAAATTCACATTGTCACCTAGATAAAAGTAGAATGGGCTTTCTTGGAAGGTGGTGGTGTCTTTTTTCTGAATACACTTGTATTTTAAGCCACTGTAGGATGCCTTATTTTATGCACTGTTTTCCAACTCTGCTCGGAGTTTGTCTGTAGTTGTATTAGCTTTTGGTGTATATTTATTTTTATATAATTTATTAACCATTAAAATACAATTGTCAGCAATTTGTATGAGTTCTTTTGGTGTTTAGTGAGCAAGGACCTTGAACATTTGCAACTCCAGATGATATACAAGAAGCTCAATTTCAATTTATTGCCCTTAGAGGTTACTGAAAAAAGGAAGGGTCATAGCAGAAAGCCAGTTGTTTGAAAAAGAAAATATCCCAGAAATGAAAGAAGTGATGAAATATTTCTCTTTCAGAACACCTGCAATAGCTGTCCTAGGTCAAGGTTTGATCATGGCTCTTGTGCTATGTCAGTAAAGTCATAGAGTGGCCCCTGGGGAGTGCCCATTCACCTGTAAAACTTACATAATCAGTATTCCAAGAAAATAGAGGAAGGAAGCAAATTGGGCAACACTTGTAGTAGAATAGATTGAAGTAGGGAGAAAACTGGAGACAAGGAGTCTGTTAGGTTAATCCAAGCTTGAGCTGATGACAACTTAGACCATAGTTTTAATGAAGAGGAAAGTATGGCTATGAGAAACATTTGAAAAAAACAATTTACAGGACTTACTGACTGACTGAGTATAATGCAAGTTTCCCGAAGTACTCTGGTTTAAGAACGGGTTCCTTCTGCACATTCTTTGCTGTCTGAAGTCCTGCATTACTATTGGAGATTTGCTTTTATTGCCCTCCCTTGGAACCATTGCATGTGAGAATCAATGCCATGACCTTAATGCCACTTCTCTGCTGGTTACAGGTTGGACTGGTCTACATGTTCAACCTGATTGTAGGTACTGGCGCCCTCACCATGCCCAAGGCTTTTGCCACTGCTGGTTGGCTTGTCAGCCTCGTCCTTCTTCTGTTCCTAGGCTTCATGAGGTAAGATGCAGCTATTATATCTGTCTTCAGTGTTCTGAGGATGTTCAAACTCCAAAGCTAGAAGTTGCATGAACTCTAGAACTGCAGGTTTCCTTGAATTACTATACTGGTACCCTTGGGGAAGACACACCCTCTAATGTAACTTAAGTTCAAATCAAAGTATATATAACTAGATTTTAGTTATATTCACTGAGAGCAAATGATGCAAATAAGATGAACATTAAGCTTCATGTTTTTCTCCTACCAGTTCTGCTGTTTCTTCAACTTTTTGCTTCTAGGCTAATATTAAAGTCAGTTTTCATTTCTTGAAAAGATGTCACCTGACACCAGGGGGAAAGCCCTGGGAGCACTTGCAATGATGGGGATGTCTGCATGAGATTTATCATTTGTTTTCAATAATTTCCAGATAATTACACAATCAAGAATTAACCTTACTGTGATTCATGCCTAGAAGGAGTGCTGCCCCTTAATCCTCAGGGTAATATTTCCTAAAATTAAGGTGGCCAAGGAATACTTTAGTGTTTAAAATACATTGGTGAAAATGCAAGAGCCTACAGTCAAAGCCATGGGCCATTTGACAGTGTTGGAACAGGGCAGGAGGAAATTGTGGCAGAGTTATGAATGCCCAAAGAATGGATATTTGTGGAAATATGCCATAAGATAAAGGTTAGAACTTTATTTCCTCTTTCTTTCTTAGCTTTTACCTTATGCTTGTATGTTGGGGAAGTGGAGAGGAACAGGAAGTGAAGGGTACTGTTTGGCTCTCCTTAAGGATGAGTGGTGACCTTTGTCACAGGCATAACTTCTCCTGTGGATCCTACCCCCTGCAAACCTAAGTGGTCATTAGATCTGAGATGGGGCAGAGAGGAGAGACAGAGGAAATGTTTGTGACCTGCTGTAACTCTGAATTAGCTCAGAGGGTCTCTTTGCTTAGAAAGCAGAGACAGACCCTTCTTGATTGCTCAGTAGGACAGATATTTTCTCAAAGTACAAGCTCCCTGTGAAGCAGCAACATGATGATGTAGCCAAAGGAGCCAACATGGTCTTAGACTGCCTTAACAGTACATTCCTTAGAATGAGAGTACCGTATCTATTTAGGGGATTAGTGCAGAGCTTCATCTTTTAGAAAAGGTGTTGACAAACTGGAGCATACCCAAGGAAAGATGACGAGGATGATAGTGAGAGTCCTCAAAATCATGGTTTCTAAGGATCTGTTGAAGTATGTGGAAATGTGTTAGCCTAAAAAAGAGAAGACTTAAAGGTGAACGTGGTAACAGTCTTCAAATGTTTGAACGGCTGTTATCCAAAAGAAAGATTAGAGCTATTGTGCTCAGCTGAAGTTGCTGTCAGCAGAGATTACAGGAAGGCAGATTTTTGTCTCGATACAGTTTAAAAAATATCCTAACAATTTGAACCATGTAGAACTGAAAAGGTTTGCCTTGTGAAGGACAAGTGTGCTAGAAGACTCTTGTAGGCAGGATTCATTCTTTTGTTACAAGTAGATAACCTTTTAAGACTAGATAACCATTGAGATTGTAGTCTTATGATTAATAATTTCATATTCCGGTTGCATGGAACACAAGGGTTCCATGGAACGGTTTGGGATTGGGATCATGGCTCCTCTTTTCCACTACTTGGAACTTCAGAATGGTTGTAAGTGGTAGTCTCACTCATAGCATCCTATAAGGTGCAAGGTCATTTAGAAAGGTCCTATCAATCAGTCAACAAGTATTTGCTATATATGAGGCACTGTACAAATGCAATACCTGTCCTCATAGAATTCACAGTCTAGTGGGGGAGACAAGATGAAAACAACTATGTACATATAAGTGTAAATAGGAGGTAATCTCTAAGGAAGGCACTAGCATTAAAGGAGACTAGGAAAGTGGGCTTGCAGAAGACATAATTTTAGTTGACCCTTCCGGGAGGCAAGGGGATGATTGGTGACGAGGAGGGATAGCATTACGATCATGGGGGATAACCAATAAAAATGCACAGATTTGGAATATGTGGAGTGTCTTGTTCAAGAAATGGCAAGAAGGCCAATGTTACTGCATCCTAGAGTACATGGAGAGGGGTTAAGGTGTAAGAAGACTGGAAGGATAGAAAAGGGCCAGATTAGGACAGGCTTTCAGAGCCAAACAGAGAATTGTATGTTTGATCTTGGGGGTGATAGGGAGCCACTGGAATTTATTGGTTGGGGGGCAGGGAGCAGGAGGAGGTGTGATGTGGTCATCCCTGTGCTTTAGGAAGGTTACTTTGTTGGCTGAGTGGAAGATGGACTTAAGTGTGGAGAAACTTAAAGCAGAGAGACCAATTAGAAGGCTATTGCATTAGTATAGGTATGAGGCTTGCCCTAGGTATCAGTGTCAAAAGAAAGAAGAGTGTATATACACAAGAGACGTTACAAAGATTAAATGGACAAGACTTGGCGACAGATTGGATATGGGGAAGATACAGTAAGGAGTTGAACATGACACATCTAGGTTTTGGACCTGCATAATTAGGAGAATGGTGGTGTCCTGGATTGTTGTAGTAGAAAATTTCAGAAGGGGGAGAGTTTAGGAGAAGAGATGAGTTTAATTTTGGACATATTGAATTTAAGATGTCCAGTAGGCAGTTGGAGATAATGAGACTAAAGGACAACAGAGAGGTTAGGGCTGGATCTGACATCTGAGAATCATCAGCAAAGTGATGGTAATTGAGTCCATACGAGCTGAGGAGCTCACAAAGTAAAATAGTACAGCTTTGGGGGAACACCCACAGTCAGTAGAAGGGTACAGGGGAAGGAAACAAACATTTATTAAGGGCCTACTATGTGCCAGGTACTATGCTAATTGCTTTACAAGTATTTCTTTTGATTCTCACAATAACTCTAGGAGTGAGTGTTGTTATCCTCATTTTACAGTTGATGAAACCGAGCAGGCAAGAAGTTAAGCAGCCTGCTCAGGTCAGACAGCTAATAAGTGTCTGAGGCTGGATTTGAACTCAAGTCTTTCTCATTCTAAGCCCAGAGTTCTATCCAGTGCTGCACCTAACTTTCTGATCCAGCAAAGGAGATCAGAGAAGAAGCAGTAAGAGAGATAGGAGAACCAGGAGACAGCAGTGTCACAAAAACTCTAGAGAGCAAAGAGAGACTAGCTAGAAGAGGGTAATTGATAGTGTGGAAGGCTGAAGAGAGGTCAAGAAAGAGATCCTATTAGGCAAAAGTCCTAATTCATACAGGAAACTAGGTGTTAGCATAGAAGTTGTTACAAGGTAGAGGTGTTCTCTACTTCCTTCCTCTTTTTTAAGAATTTAAAAGAATGGCCAACGGATCTCTTTGGAGTCTCATAGAGGAGACGGTTGGACGTGAAATTAGAGTTTTATAGTTGGAGATTAAAGCAAGACCTTAAAGAGGTGATATAAAATTATTCATTTTTCAGTAATTCAGGTCAAACATTTATTAAGCACCACTATGCACTGGGCAGTGGAGACAGAAATATTTGACACGACAGGCTTACAATGTCCTCAAAGAGCTTATAATGTAGTGAAGTTAGGGAAGGAGAAGATATGTAGTAGTTATAAGGTAGGATATGATTAAGTATATAAAAAAAAGGTCGTAGTACCCTAAACACTTTAAGGAGATAGGGATTACTTCTACCTGGGAAGGTTACATAGAGGAGGTGACACCTGTTTTGTATCTCATAGTTGACATATGTTAAAGCATGAAGGTATGAGAACAAGATGAAATTTGGGCAACAGTCATTATTGACTTTGGCTAGAGTTTAGAATGCTGGAGGTAGAAAGAAGAAGTAGTGTAGCCTAGATTGTGAAGAGTCTTGAATATGAGCTAAAGATTTCAAACAAAGAAGAAACTCTGCAGTTTACAGAGCAGTGAGAAATAATTTTATTTTAAATGAGATTGATTTTATTTTTTAAGAAACATTTTAAAGGAAGCGGAAAAAATTAATCCCTTAAAACGATCACTGCAAAGTAGGTAATTGCCTTCAACAAGGATATAATTTTTCCTTCTGTCCTTTTTAGAAACCATTCCAGGAAGTGAAATATGGTAGATTAGAGTGGCAATTCTAGTTTCTGGTCACTTCTGAGTTGATTGCCCTGGAAGAGATGGTGGTGGTGTCCATTTAACCCTTAGTTGATTGAACCTGTCTTCTGCCTGACTCCAGACCTGCTTAGCTGAGTAGTCAGTCTATTCACTTTCTTGTCAGCACCCAGTGAAAGCTGCTGAGTCAACGATGTATCCAAATAGGCAGCAACGTTTAATGTTACTGAATGAAAAAGAAGGTTCAATTTCAGATTGTTTCAATGCAAGGGCTTATTTCCTGGCAAGGAACTAGGTTCATACCAGAGAGGTTTCTGGAAAGGAGGTAGTCCTCTTTAGTCTCTTTCCGTGTCCTCAGCCTCGATGAATTCTGGAAATAATCATGATGATGTAGTTGGAGTTAGTTAAGATTTGAACCTAGGTTCAAATCTTACGTATGGTACTTAGTACTTGTGTGACTTTGGGCAAGTCACTTAACTTCCCTGGGCCTCAGTTTCCTCCTCTCTAAGGCAGAAGGGTTGGATAGGTGGTCTCTGAGGTTCCTTCCAGCTCTGAATCTGTGATTTCTATGGTAGTTTTCATGGTCCTTGATTTCTAGTCCCTTTAAGATTGTGTCTCTTCCCTTTTTCTCCATAATCCCCACCAAAAAGAGATTCCTGCAATATCTTTTCTTTCTCCCATGGCATATTTTTCATCACAGTCTGGCTTCTCAGCACACTCCTGAGTCTGGCAACCCTTTCTGTTAATGTATGTGATAGGAATATTTGGTAATTTTGATATTAATGATATTTACTAGGAAGGTAACTCTGCTACCAAAAAAAGTAAGGTAGTGAATTCAAGAACACAACAAAATATTTTCGTTTATTCATACCATTTTCCCTCCTTTAGTGTGCATAACCAAGAGTTGATTACCTGTCCTTATCCTAAGAAGGAGAGATGAGAGCTTCCTTCTATCCTTTCCAGAAACTGAAGGACTTTTTATGGCTCAATCACCTCATAGGTTTGCATCTCAGGCACCCTTGGCTCCTATGGATAACTAAGTTGTCCCAACTGTAGATCTCTTTCCACACTTGGGTTCTGCCTTCTCAGCAATCATTCTGTCTTGTTTTGTCTCTTTTTCAGCCCAGTGGGAATATATATTAAATGTAAACATTGCCATTTAAACAATTATAGATATCTTCCTCAGGAAAGATCATGTCCTGAAAGCTGTATTCTACAGAAAGAAAATTTAAGAGAGGGACTCTAAAAAAGGCAGAACTTCAGGCTGAATGATCTAGATAGATTTAAAGTTATTTTACCTTCAGTACTACAACTCCCACTCTTCATTCTTTCTGTTGGTCTTTGGCAATTAATCCTTTAATTTCCTTTTTAGCTTCATGACCACAACCTTTGTAATGGAAGCCATGGCAGCAGCCAATGCTCAGCTTCGTTGGAAGAGGATGGAAAGCCATAAGGTATATATTGTCTTTTGGGCAGACATTGCTGTCCTTGGGAGCCGGTTACTGCTTTTCTCTCATGTAAAGTATGAAGGGTACTTGGTCTAGAGCTAAGTCCCAAAGTTAAGCTTAACACAGCTATGTGTAGACCTGAAAAAGAGAGTGATTTTTCTAAAGTAGCCACTGGGTTCCAACTCTGCCTCTACCTCATCTTCTCTTTTGGGCTCAGTCATCAATTTGTAGGAACATAGATTTAGAGCTGGAAATTATTAGAGACAGTGTGGTGTGATGGAGAGTACTGGACTTGGAGTTTGAAAGATCTGGGTTCATACCTTGCTTCTGATACTTGTTAGCTATGTGACTATGGGCAAGTCACTCAACCTTTTTGAGTCTAAATTTCCTTATCTATTTAAGATGAAGAGTAATATGTATCATCTCACAATGTTAGTAAAAAGCTCAAGTGAGATAACAGTGGCTGCTGTTGTTATCTTGACCTTCTCTGGCAAGGAGCTATACTATAATTTGCTCCTTGGCGTCTGTCTACCCCAGTCTTTCATTTTAGCGTAGAAGAATTGAGCTACTTTAGTTCAAACAATCCTCTCTGCTTCCTTTCGCTCTCCATAAGCATTCCCTAGGAGGATAGGTAAGCCCTTAGCAATGACTTTTTCCTCCTTGGGTCTTTCTCTCATTTCTTTCCTGTCCCCTATGCCTAGGAGGAAGATGATGATGATTCCTCTACAGCTTCTGATAACGATGTTCTCATCCAGGAAAACTATGATCGGTCAGAGAAACAGCCCATCTTGTCTGTTCGTAAGTCTCTGGGCATGCCTTTTTTTCCTTCTTTATTGTAATTAGAATTCTAGTTAACCATCATGTGATATGAGTGAAGTTTCCTTCTGCTTTTGAAGAGATGCTGATTTGTCATCTTTTCATATGGTCTCTGGGAAGTGCTTGTGATCCATCTAGAAAATAGAAGCAGCTCATATCTCTTTGTCATCTAAACCAAGGATCAGCCTTCCTCTTCTTCCCTTATTCCCCATTAGAAACATCCCCCCACATTCTCTGTGAGATATTTTGCTTTGAGTAGATGATACTGAGAAATTCTCAGGAATTAGGACAATTGAGGGTTTTGTCTCCCAGATTTTTAAAAAAATTTTGTGAGATATGGGATAGATATGACAGAGAGACAGTTGACAGGACAAGAGTTCTGGGAAGTTGACATTTGAGAATTAGTTTCATAGAGGAGATAATTAAAGCCACCGGGGAAGAGAGGAGGAGCAAGTAGAGGAAATCACAAAGAGAATGTATGTGTAAAGGGAAAAAAGAGGGCCGGGAAAAGAACAATAAAGGACAACCTTATTTAAAGGACAAGAGGAGGTTAAAGACCCTGCAAGTAAGATGAAAAAATGGAGAAAAAGAAAGTATGGACAGAGAAGTGGGTTCGGAGCTGAAGGATACAAACTCAAATCTACTACATATTCCCTGTATGACTTTGAGGAGAAAAAAAAAAACACAAGAACTAAAACCTCTACCTTTTTCCTCCCAAAACTGCAGAGAGACATGGATCTCCTAACATTTTTGAAATTGCCGATCGTGTGGAGATGGGACAAATGGCCTCTATGTTCTTCAACAAAGGTATCAGTCTAAGGTTTCTATTTCTTCTCAATAACTAGGGGATCTGTAGTTAGATTAACTACAGAATTTTCCAGGTACTTGTCTCAGCAGTTCGTGGAATTATTTGACCCTCTTTGAATCCTTGAATTTTGTCAGGGGAACAGTTTTAACCTCATTCTGTAGGTAAAGCTGAAGTACTTCTGAGAGAGCAGTGCTGCCGTGGACTCAGATATTTGATTTTCTTCTCCATGGTTACTCAACAGGGCTTTGAGCAGGATGAAGAAATACCAACTCTGGACTATATTCTAATCCTCGATTCATAAGTCACAGGATTGTGGATTTAGGTCAGAAAGGGACCTTAGACGTCATCTAATCCATCACACTCATTTTATGAATATGGAAAGTAAGACCCAGAGAGATAAGCAGATAATGCCCAAGGTCATGCACATAGCAAGGGGCAGAGTTAGTTGTTAAAAACCTGGTTCTCACGGAGCAGCTAGGTGGCGCAGTGAAGAGCTCTGGCCTTGGAGTCAGGAGGACCTGAGTTCAAATCCAGTCTCAGACACTTAACACTTACTAGCTATGTGAACCTGGGTAAGTCACTTAACCCTGATTGCCTCACCCAAAAAACAAACAAACAAACAAACCTGGTTCTCTGACTCCAAACTCAACATTCTATTCATTGCACCATACTGCTCCCCCAAGTTGATTTCCTGACACAAAAAGTAAGAGAACCCTCTGGTATTGAGGGTGCTTCTTCATGAAATCTGACTTTTGCCACCTTCCTTTTTGCCTGTCAGCTCTACCCAGGAAGCTTGTAGCCATTGGCTTAATGACAGAATGATTTCAAGTGCAATCCATTCAGTTGCAGTAGAAACTTATTTTGCCCAGCAGAGGGTGCTAGGAACCCACATACCTTTTGGTCATTGCAACTAGGTTTGCTATAGGGATTAGAGATCTAGGTCTTCTCTTTATGATTAACTTCCTTCACTCTGCTGTGAGAGTGACTTGGCTTAAACTTGAGGGTACCCATTGACTCAGGCCCAGGGCAATCTAGAAACAGTATTTTATGCCTGCAGGGGAAAGCCAGAATAAGATCATTTTGGTCTAAATTTTTCTGCTTCCTCCTTTTCCTTAAAGTATTGTATGACATTCTCAGTTGATCTCTCTCTCACTGCATTTTGCTTAAAAGATTTTCTGCCACTTTCCAGAAGCTGGTTGTTCACAGGTCATTTTCCTTTACTTTCTGGAGACCATTATATTGGAAATCTCTTTGCCCTGTTGGAATTAGGTTATGCATATGGAACTAGAAGCTTCTGAGCTGCTGTTGAGATACTCCTTTTCTAAAGATGGTGCATACTGTTCTTCAGGGGGAGTATGGTCTGGCGGACTCTAGCAGGAACATGTGGAGGACCAAACAAGCCTTACAAATGATTCTTCTGGGATCTCTGATTTCATCTGTGTGGCCACTCCCTCAACCATTATAGATCATAGTTGCTCTATAACCTAGTAGATTGTCACAGAGAATTGCTTTTGCTGAAAATTCTTCACCCTATGACCAGCCTTATAAGTCTTTCTCAGACTTCACTAGGCAGGTCATTACAAGACTTGTACTCAAAGCTTTTCCAGCTTAGTAGGACCTACTAGAGCTTGTGTTCTACTGATGTGGTGTTAGAAAACCCGGGAAAATGTCAGTATCCCAATGAAATGTTAAATTATTCTTTATTGGAGGTTCACAAATAATGTTTTTTTCCAATATCATTCAGCCCTAAATAATTCTGCCCAGTCCATACTTCAGTGTGCTTTTACTTCCTTAACCCTACTGTTCCCCCCCCCCGTTCTTCTTCTCAAAGGCTTTATATCTAGAAGATGCACACTAAATTCCCTTCCTTACAGTTTTTTCTTTAAGTTAAAGGAAAACAGGCAGAGAATTTTAAGCATCTCATAAATTTGCTTCTTAATTTTTATTTTTTAAGGCTTGCCTTTATTGAACCTCAAGTGTTCAAACACCAGTGCTTATTTTTATGAACTAGCATATTTTCCAGGACATATGAGTAAACTAGATTATTCATAAGAGTAGTCTTTGACAACTAGGGAGAACTCTCCTTCATTTTTACTATAGTTCCTTATTCCTAGTTGGCACTCCCATATTCTCCCTCAAGAGGGTCTGCCTCCCTCAATTAAAGAACTATTAGGCTTTAGAAAGTCCCGGACCCATTTCTTGTCATCAGAAATTCTGGGTTTATCCATCATTTGGCCTTTTAACAGGAAATTATTGATCCTTTTGTTTTGTGTCCTGTAAATGAAGTTATTGATCAGGGATGTTCGATAACAGTTTATAAACAGAACTGATATTCTAGTGTATTGGTGGGTGGAAGGGAGGGAGAGATTTCTCTTCTCAGGGAATGTTGGCATCTGAGTAGAAAATCAAGCTGAGAGCACAGGTTGTACTTGTTGCCTCAAGCCTGAGTGACCAGGAGACTATAGGAACTTTGTGGGTTTGGACAATTAGCCTGCCCCATCATATCAGGGAGAGGCAACATTCTGAAAGCAGGAACTGTTGCCCTTCTGATGCCTTTCAAGAGCCATGTGTTCCTAGACATTATTCATTCACCTCCCCAGTCATGGAGTGTGGTACTGACTTCAAATAGTCATTCCAGAACTAGTATTCCCTAGACTTTTTCTTGGGAATCCTAAAGATGTTGGTCTAAAGGAACTGTGCTTCCTCCCCTGTCCCCCTTTATTTCTGTTCTCTCTTTAAAGAAGCCAACAGGATAAAAAGAGTGGTATTGAAAATGTTCAGAAATCAATCTGGACAGAACAGCTTGAAATTTATTGTTTGAGAACATACCTTAAGTATATTTGTGCAGCCCTTGATCATTTGTTTTCCAGAACATTTTCCTCCTTACTACTGTCATCCTATAAGGTAGCTTAACACAGTGCCTGGCACATAGTAGGTGCATAATAAATGTTTATTTGATGGATAGGCAATCATTATCCCTGTTTTACAAGTCAGGTGACTTGTTCAAAGTTCCACAGTTGTGGGACTACCCGTAGGACCCAGATTTCCCATCTCCCACTTAAGAGGTCTTTCTGCCATGCTGTAGTACAGTGTAAAGAGCCCTAAGAATTAGGAGACCAGAGTTCTTTTCTTTTGGCTTTTTGGTAAGGCAGTTGGGGTTAAGTGACTTGCCCAGGGTCACACAACTGGTAAGTGTCAAGTGTCTGAGGTCAGATTTGTCTTCCTGACTCCACAGCCAGAGCTCTATCCACTTCAACACCTAGCTGCCCCTGAAGACCAAGGTTCTAACCCCAGCTCTTAACTCTAGCTGACTATGTGGCTTTTCTCTGGGCCTCAATTTTCTAATTTTTAAGCTGCAAGAGTTGAACTAGCTGATCTTAGAGGCTCCTTTCAGCCCTTCACATTGTAGTTACACCATGCTGTATTCCCTTAGAACAGGGGTTCTTAACCTGGGGGTCTGTGAACTTTTTTTAAATAATGTTTTGATAACTTTCAATACAATTAATTTCCTTTGTAATCCTATGTATTTTATTTTATACATTTAAAACATTATTCTGAAGAGTCCACAGGCTTCACCAGACTGTCAAAAGGGTCCATGATACATAAAAGGTTAAGAACCCTTGTATTAGACCCTAATCAAGCTATTTGACTGCTGGGATGACAAGCCAGTGGGGCCCTCTGACTCTCCATATTGCTCACTGTGTAGTTTCCAAGCCAGTTCTCCCAAATGTCTTTCATAAAAAGTAGGATCGCTTTCTTTCTTCCCAAACTTTTTCTCCGTTACCTATTCTCTCTTTTCTTTGCATTTGTTTTCTCCCTCCCCACTTCTACTCCCCTCCCCCCACTTCTCCTTAATTAATTGACTTGAACTATACTATATTCTTTTTAAAAAATAATTAGTGAGAGTTGAGTTCCTTCTCCCCTACTCCTGGTTTGATTGAGGAAGAATAAATGTTTTCTTATTAGCTCTTCTTTGGCTTCAGAATTCCACAGTAAAGACACCCTACCCACCCCCTTTCCCCAGCCTTGTGACTGCAACATAGTTTTCTGAAGGTGCAACTCTAACTTTGGTAGTTGACACTGATTTCTCACCTTCTGTTCTTTCTTCCCAAAGTGTCCCATCCTGATCTCGAAGACTCCACCAATTCCTAGACTACTTACCTAAGCAGAGTCTGCCTACCCCTGCCTGATATTAGGCTTTTCCTGATTTGGGAGCTGCCCCCAATTATATGGCTCTCGTCTTTCTAGTGAGATTGCTGGATCTGGGACAGATAATTATTTCCAGTATCTATCTTTCTTTGAGAAATTAGTAGATGAAACAAAGAAGATCTAGGTGTCTGGCTTAACTTAGGCTAGTTCTCATCTTTGGGGTTTTCCTTTCTAGTACTACATTAGAAACATAAGAAGAATTTCATTTTGGGAAAACTGTAGAGATATGTTTCATATTAAATGAAATTTTGGGGAAAAAAACCAAAAAGAAGTAAATGGGATGTTGTAGAGGGGATTCCTGTTCAGGTAGATTGGACTAGATGATTTTTGAGGTCCTTTGTCACTCTGAGATCCTCTGACTTGAAGGCTAAAAATTGAGCTGTTTTAAAACTTTATATATAAAGGCCTCTCTCTCAGGCTTATTGACTGATTAATTTTTTTTTTTTTTGGTCACTTTCAGTGGGAGTCAACCTGTTCTATTTTTGTATCATTATCTACCTTTATGGGGACCTAGCTATCTATGCTGCAGCTGTGCCATTATCTCTTATGCAGGTGACCTGGTGAGTGTCTACTTTTCTGCCCATTCCTCTTTTAGCCACATGGTGCCCTCTACTAGCCAAGGAACCAAGGACTAACTCAGGATCGACAGGATAGAAGCACGATGCTAAGCAATTCATTCTAAGGAGTTCCATTACTGGCTATATTACAGCTCCTTTGTAGTTTTTCTTTGTTCAGGCCACCCCTTTCCCCTCAGTCTCAAGGGAACATAGCCTCTGTCCTCTTCCTTATTGTAAAAATGACTGAGCTGATAACAGATTTCTGGGTCCTTGGGGAAAGGTACTGTAGGAATATGTGTGCGTTAAGAAGCTGAGCTTGTCTCCTGAAGGATAGCACCATCAGTTAATGAGATAAAAAAACTGACTGGTGGATTCGTGATCCATTCTCTCCAAACCATGTGGTGAAATCCACAGAGCAGTGAGGAGACTACCATTATGTTCTTTTTACCAGCAGTGCCACTGGCAATCACTCCTGTAATGTAGAAGCCAGCACCAAGTACAATGACACAGATGTGTGTTGGGGCCCCATCAGACGAATTGACGCCTACCGCATCTACCTGGTAAGTGCCCTGGCTGATGTTGCTACATCAGGCTACTATGTCTTGTGGCAGAGGGTGTTGCCTTGGGATTACCTGGGGTATTTGAAGTGCCTTAAATTTTTGGTAAAATTCCCCATGTAACAGGGTCCACACCACTTTATACCATTCATAGTCACTCGATGATACTGATGGTTTTGTTGAACAAATGATTGCTCCATCTTGGTGACAAAAGTGTATGTGCACACAGTCTCTTAGCTAACTCCAGGACCTGTGTACTTGGTTCATAGTGTTTGGGAAATTATTTACTTAGCAAAGGACCTTTAGGGTGGAGGATTTCATTTTCTAGGAATTTTGTTTTAATTCCATCATACCCCTCTGTAGCAGATATCCAAGGGATCACAGGTGTATATTGAGGTTTTGAGGTTGAAATGATCTGTCTTATCCTTGACCCTGTTTCCTGGCTATCATCAGACAGGGTCTCTAGGCAGATTTCCTATCTCCCAATCTTTCCCTTTTCCTTTCTGACAAATCCAATTAATCTTTAGACTCTCCATGATTGCTTTGTACCATAAGATGTGGGGAGGAAAAGACTGAACCATATATGAGCTGGGCTTTGCTAATAAGATTCAAAACCAGAGGCAGTTATTTATCTCTGCTTCCTTTGTGAATGACACTAAGAAATATTTCTCTTTAATTTTTGCAGCATCTCATCTATTAATATTCTTTGCTATTTCTTGGTACTCTTTGCCTGTGACACAGATTTAGATACACTAGGTGCCCTGCTGATTTGATATATAGCTACTTATTTGGTCTGGAAGGTAGGGAAAGAGAGCTGAGACTTCAGAGGAATTAGCAACTTGACTCAAAAACCATTGAACTAAAAGAAATATCATTGGATCAGGCAAACTCTGCTGTTTAAATCTAGATATGAAAGCCCCAAGTGTAATTGAGTCTCTTTTAGTTTTCCAGTTCCACCCCATAATTAAAGGCATAATTATATTGATAAGCTGTTGGTGGACCTCGTTTTTTTGCTCTCTGCATTTCTGGAGCAGTAACATGACCTGGTTTTCCTCTCTTCCATCATCAAATTGGGGCTAGGATTTTGTTTTTCAGTTGAATTGTGGCTCTGACCTATTCATTTTGGGTCTGGTGAGAATTTGGTACCAAGATAATAATTGATATTGCCTTTTGTGTTTTTCCCCCCTGCTTCCTGATATTAAGAGTGGGCAGAATAACCCCAACAGAGCAGCAGGGAGAGTTACCACGTTAGCAGCACAGCTGAGGCCCTGTTATGCTATTATCCCAAACACATCCTGCCGTGCATTTCACAAAACGCCGTCTTGATTGATAAAATTAGCAAAGGCATTAGTAACTGTAAGGGCCTATTGCAAAGCCATCTGGAGCTTTTAACTGGTGTAGACGAGTGGAAGAGTTGGTAAGAAAGGGATCTAGGAGCACATCACTGGTATCAGAATATATCAAGGAAAAAGAAACAACATGAGCACCTTAGATGAGTTTTTTCATAATTGCTTCACTGTATGCAGGGAGACTACTTAGTTGCCCCCTTCTCTCTCCCCCACCCCCTCATATTAACCCTTTTTGTACCCATCCATGTGTAAGAAGGACTCTGAACCACAGGAGTGTTAACTAATATAACTTGCCTAGTCAATTATTTAGAAGTGATATTATTGCCTTATTAAATTGCTCCTTAGCTTATTCTTATTAACCTTCCACATGATGGACACCTCCTTCCCTGAATCTCAATAACTCCTTGACCGAGACAGAAGGAACTCTTCAGGAAAGCAGACACTCATTAATTATTGCCTGCATCTTCTAGATATTGCACCTATAACTCATGAGGGTAATTGATATTAGTGCCTGCAAAAAAGTTTTTTTAAATGAGGTTTGGTGGTGGGAGGAAGCAAAAGATATTGGCTGCTTCTTTCCCCTACTGCCTCGGTTCTCCTCTTAAAGGCTTTAAATTTTCTTCTAAGCATTTTGGTGTGATTTCTTTCTCCCCTCTCCCCTCCTTTCTCTTTTGGCCAATGTCAGGAAACCTAATATGAATGAACAAAGGTGCTGAAATTTTTGCATTTTCAGAAGTTGCTTATAACTTTGGAAGAAATTTCCAAAGATGTTGAAAGTATAAAGCCTAACCCCAAACAATCTCTGCTATCTTTTGTTAGCAGAGGTTTTAGTTGCCGTCTTTGGCACTGGCTTTCTGCGTCACATCTGTGACATCTATCTATACTCTAGCTTCCTTCCCTACCAGGTGTGTCCAACAGGGCTTATAAAGTACATGGAACTCTGTGGTTAGAAGGTCCAGTAGCATCAAATAACTTCTCCTGATTATGGGACAACGGTGGTATGACCTATATATCCCCAGTCTCTCAAGGACAAAGAAATATTCATTTCCTTTGGAGACTGCTGCTGATCTTTAGATTGTTAGATATTCTAATTTTCAGAAAAGCAGTACAAATGGGTAAGGAAATTAATTTTAATTACTCCTTCAAATTATATGTTCTATGTAAACACTTGTTCCCAGGGTTAACCACAAACTTATTCTTCCTGTCTCTTCTGGATGAGTCCTTCCTTTAAAAAAAAAAAAAAGCTTTTCAGGGTCTAGTAATAACCATTGCTAGCATTGCAATTCTAGGACAAATGTTCTGTGGGGGATAAAGACTCAAAAATCACATTTTGTTATGTAATGTCCAAAAGGGCCTCTAAAAATGGTATCTACTATTTTCTGAAGCTACATTTAAGACTCACACCCAGAATAAGCATATTTAGGAATATTAAGATCCTCTCTAGACAGACACTTGCTTCTGTAACTTCTTGATTGCTGTTAACTAAAAGTAGCTCATCTGAAAGGCTATAGCTTCTAGAGGTTTTATCAATATTTTTTCCAGTCCTACACGAGCCATTGATCTCTATAGACTAGAACTTCACTCATTGCTCGTAGATGTGCTAATCATTTGACTTTTGGGCTTTAAAAATAGAGGCTTTCCAGAGTATTATGAACACTATGGGATTCTTGAACTGATATATGATATGCTGGTCTTTTACATCTGTGCTTTCCAATGGATCTGATATGAGTCAGTTTCTCCCTATTGTCCTTCCTTAGAGTAGCCACAAGGCAAGGACACTGTGATGCCAAAAGGCTTCATGAGCCATCTGAATGCTTCACTTTAAAGGGCATCCTGGAATGCCAGCCACAGCTGGAATCAACAGTAGTACAGGCTCCATAATTATCACCAGTGTGACTTATCAGTAAGATCAAGATTTGAAATCTTGACTTCTTGTGTCCCTGCCACCTATCTTATTCTCTTCCTTCTGGTTTAAATGGATAAGTATTGAATGGTACATCCTTTCAGAGACTTGTCTCTAAACTTGGGAAAGAGTTTGAGGAGTTTCCTATTATTTGACTTTGTTGAACAAAAAAAATTTTTTTTAGCATTTCCTCCTTTTATGTGCAGCAAGAAGCTTGTGAATGTCACTGATGCTGTGGAATCATAAAAGCTTCCTCCAGTTGTCAGACTGTCCTGAGTACCTCCATAGTAACACAGATGTTATTTTGCTCTGGTCTAGGACAGTGCTAAGTGATTTTCTTTTCTTTTCTCGTATCTCCATTGTTTCCCTTTCCTTCACTCCCATCCCCTGCCTAGGATCCTCCCCTCCTCACAGGGAGTATCAAAGAGAACTCCTCGAAGAACTGTAGAAGTAAGTGGGGACTCTGTAGGTACTTCAGGCTCATCACCATTGGAAAAAGATGTGGTATCCAACACTTACTGGTGAACAAATGCTGCTGGATCACAGGCAGCCCAGCGGGTACTAGCCAAGAAGAGCTAGGAGCGCAGATGGCAGAGCGGAGCTTAGCTTGGTTGGAAACCTGATTGTAAAGTGGAGGCAACGAGTAGGGTGCATTTATTGGCTCCCTTTGAGAAGTGACAAGGTCACCCCCAGCTTTCCATGCTCCTTAGAGCTCTGGAACTAGGCAGGGCAGTCCTGAGGTCTTGGGAAACACAGGACTCAGGTTACAGAGTTCAGCCTTCCAATACTGAGTTATAGCCATTGCCCGCAGCCACTGCATGTGTATTTTCTCTGGGGTTCTCTTCTGGATGGCCATTCCTTAAATAGTGAGGAATGGGGTGTCTGAGTTTAGGGGTGGGAGTGCAAAAGAGGCATGGAAGTTTGTCTTTAGCTAGAGAATTCATGGGTATGGTAGAATGTTAAGCCTGGGGTCCTTTTGTGTCTTTACTGATTATTCTCCATGAAAAGCCTCATGCCATCTCTTTGTACCATGAGCCATTTCTTTTTGCCAGCCTGGTCTTGTCTTCCATGCATAAAAATACCTAGGTAAAGTGCCTTCCACAGGATAACAGATAAAACATCTGAATGATTTTTTAGAAAATATTTTATAGAGATGGTACCACTTGAAAGTAAATGGCCTTTTTGAGGGGAAGAGGCTTGTGACCTCAGGATAGTGCTTCTCTCTGAGCTTAGAATTTTTTCCTTCTCTTAAGGACTTGTGTTTCCCAGCTAAGAATCTCAGGCCTTATGATCCTATTTTTATGATCCAAGTTTTTTTAAATGAGGTGGAATATAGCTTGCTTCTGACTGCCAGGATGTAGGATTTGGTCAGTAGGGACAGGTCATAAGGATGGTATCAAAACAGTAATCTGTTTGTATAGCCTGCTCATCCACATGATTGATTCTCTCTCTCCCTTCTTTGCCTAACCCATGCCTCCTGAATATCAAAATGGACTTTTTGGACTTAATGCAATGCTACTTGGGATAGAACATGTCTTCCAAGGACATTTGCCTTCCCCTGTTACTGCTAGGGAGGATGCTTCTCCCTGTGTTCTGTCTCAGCCACTGTGCCCTGGGGCTATGGCATCTGCTAATAAGTGGGTCACAGCTGCCTTCAGTCGAATATTCTTACTGATTTTGGAGCAGAAGTGGTCCTAGAGGCCTTTAGGACCAGTCGAGGAATGAAACAAGCAACAGGTTTTTCAGAGTGT